ATATGGGAAGGGGTAGAGCAGGTTTTTTAAAAAAATTGATTTCAGAGAGAAAGGGAGATGGAGAAAGGCAGAAGCATCTGATGAAAGAGAATCACCAATAGGCTGCTTTCTGCATGCCCCCGACTGGGGACCATGCCAACGACCCAGGCACGTGCCCCTAGTGGAAATCAAACTTCGATCTCCTGGTTCATAGGACGACGCTCAACCACTGAGCACACCAGGTGGGCAAGAGTAGATTTTTGTGGATGACCTGCTGCTCTCAGCTGGCATATGGGAAGGGGTAGAGCAGGTTTTTTAAAAAAATTGATTTCAGAGAGAAAGGGAGATGGAGAAAGGCAGAAGCATCTGATGAAAGAGAATCACCAATAGGCTGCTTTCTGCATGCCCCCGACTGGGGACCATGCCAACGACCCAGGCACGTGCCCCTAGTGGAAATCAAACTTCGATCTCCTGGTTCATAGGACGACGCTCAACCACTGAGCACACCAGGTGGGCAAGAGTAGATTTTTGTGGATGACCTGCTGCTCTCCCATACTGCTGGCATTATTGGAATAAACGCTCATATATGATTCAACCCTGTCTCAGCTTAATTGGTTCAAGTAGTGACAGGCAGCCCAGACCCATTGGTTGTCCAGTTTCATAAGAATTAAAGTAAGAAGAAAAATAAAAAATGATGCCAAATGGAATATTACAAAGAAGCTATTAACTTAGCTGGACACGGGAAGATGAGAGAGTAGAGAAGGAAGTCTATGAGGTGGCAGAGCCTAAGGGATTATTTCTGTAGACTTTTATAAGTTTTCACTGGAAAAGTAGAACTACAACAGTGAAAGTGGACAAAGCACCAATAGGCTTTAAGCCTGTAATTGTGGGGATTATATACAGCAGCAATTTTTAACTGGTGTGTCGCAAGAACTTTTAAAACATGCAATACCTGACTATTTATTCAGGGGCACTGATCTCTATTCCCTTAGATTGTCAAATAAAAAAATAACAAGAATCAACACAAAAACAATAGCCATCCAGTGTGAATCAAAATTATACCTATTTTTTTTGTCAGAATGGCAAAAAATACATTTTTTTTGGTGTACCGCAGTATTTTAGCAATTAGTTTATGTGTGCCACGAGATGAAACAGTTGAAAATAGCTGGTATGCCGTAATTACATTATCCTCAGTACAGCTACCCGTTTTTATGCTGATTTACTTTAACAGTAAGTTAGTGATAGAGCTGGTTGCCATACACCTCTATCTCATAGGCAGTCTTTCAGAAGAGTGAGCAGATTTGTTCTATACTATTCTAGAGAGCAAAACTGTGGGTGTACATCACAATAAAGTGAAATGTAGCTCAATACAAAGAATCACGCAACTAGATCTGTTAACAGATTACAACTAGATCGCGCTCCCACACGAAGTAATGAGCTCCCTATTCAACTACATCATCTCAAATATGCAATTCTATGTGGCAAGCATAACAGGTACTGTGATATTGTGATATAATTCAAAATATATATTTGGCTTTCATCCTGGTTCCTGGAACAGAGATCTAAAATCTTGGAACTTCCTGAGTGATTGGGGTGATAGGAACATCATTTGTTATTCCTAATTAATCTCTTAAAGCTATACCTGAGTTTATGCTAATGGGGTGACTCTTGGTGGGCCCCTAGCTTCAGGATAGGGGCTAGTTGCCCAGGGTTTAGACCAGGTGATTAGAGGGTTGGAACTTTCAGCTCCACTCCCTGACCTCCAGGGAGGGTAGAAGTTAGTCACCAGTGGCCAATGATTTAATCTTTCCCACCTATATAATGGAACCTCCATAAAACAATGGGGTTCAGAGAGCTTGCTGGCTGGTTGTTCACATCAATGTGCTGAGAGGGCACACCAGAAAAAGACATGAGTTCTGCGCACACACACACACACACACACACCCCACCTTGCCCTATGTATCTTTTCCATTTGGTTGCTAAGAAACCAGTGATAGTAAATTACCTGTTTTCCAGTGTTCTGTGAGGCATTTTAGCAAATTATTGAACCTCAGGAGGGGAGTCATGGGAACCCTTGATTTATATTTTATGAAAACAGCAAGAGCTCACTAGGGAAAATTTAGAATAAACAGAAAAGTGATTCTATTACCCAGAGGAAACAACTGCTTAAACCATTAAAAAATATGGCTCTCAGAAAGGATTTCGAATAAATGCTAAAAGAACTGGTAGGAAGAAACTGGCAAATATGACCAAATTAATATTCAAGGACTAGAGCTTGCCTTTATATTTAAATTAAGGAAGTGGCCCTTGCAGGTTTGGCTCAGGGGATACAGCATCAGCCTACAGACTAAAGGGTCCCAGTTCCGTTCGGCCCAGCGGGGGCGGGGGAGGGGAGGTGGGGGGGTGGGGATGCCGACATGCCTGGGTTGCAGGCTTGATCCTCCCAGTGGGGGGCGTGCAGGAGGCAGCTGATCAATGTTTCTTTCTCTCGTCGATGTTTCTAACTCTATCCCTCTGCCTTCCTCTCTGTAAAAAATTAATTAAATATATTTTTAAAAAATAAACTCCTGAAGGAAAGGGAGCATGTTTAAAAAAATAATAAAAATAAAATAAGGAAGTGAAAATTTAACTCACAGAAATAAGAGTGTATCTGTTTACAGGTGGGGCTGGCTCAAAGGTCACAAATACCACAAATGTAATAAACACTAGTTTTCCTGTAAGTTCAGTAAGATTACTTTCAACTAGAAGAACAAGTTTTAGCTTTACCTGCTGAGTCAAAAAACTGAGTTGTTTATCAGAAGGCATAATGCAGATTAATAAATGCTATTAAAGAAGCAACATAAATAAAGGTGAAGTGAGAGAACCACCACTCATCATCCTAACAACTTAACACATCTGCACAGTACCATTACCTTCTCTCCAGAGGCATAAAATGCTTACCCTGTTGCACCAATGGAAGTTTTGACAAAATTCTTTGGACGAGACACTGTACCAGCTCCTATAAGTTGTTATATTTATAGAATTTGATGAAACACCCAGTACACACCGCAAGAACAACAATTAGTCATGTAATAATAAGCACCTTTATAAAGGTACTTTACTGTGATTTTACTTCATATGCATAATAAAGTGGAGTTCAGCTTCAGAGATGGTTAAATATAAACAACTAGCCTATAAATAAACACAATTTAGCATTATGTGAAAAGCCCTAAAATGTACATACAAAGGATGTTTAAGTATTACTTATAAGGGCAAAAGAAGTTAATCCTCAATTGAGACTATTTTTTCAAAGAGGGCGAAAGGGAGGGAGGGAGGGAAGAGCAAGAGGGAGAGAAACAAGGATGTGAGAGTCACACATCAATTGGTTGCCTCCCAACCAGGGCTGGAAATTGAACCTGCCACCCAGGTATGTGCGCTTGACTGGGAATTGAACCCGTGACCCTAGGTGCATGGGCCGTTGTTCTAATCACTGAGAATACTGGCCAGAGCAGTTGGTAAATATTTTTAATATAGATATATACTGATATTTTCATAATACAGTAGTGAAAAACAATACCAAGTGATCCCCTTTTTATAAGTGTATATGAAACCTAATTGTGTCCTGTGAATGTCATACTTCCATTCTGTAACTGTTGAATTAATATAGCACAAGACTGGACTGACTTAAATGTTAGTTATCAGTTCGCCCAAAGTATCCTTCAAGTTATTTCTGTCCTGAAAGAAAAGATACTTAACATAATGGCCACCAAGTCTGTCAGCTGCATTCCCATACAGGATCCA